CGGCGACACCCAACGACCCCCGGCCCGGACCGCGAGGGGAAGCCGCGCCGGGCCCCCAGGAAGCCCCGAGCGCCTCCTCCCGACAGGAGCCGGGCGCTGTCAATCAGCCGCACATCCCCGGCGCGGGCCAATGGGCGGCCTCCTCCTCCCCCTCCTCCCGCCCCCCCGCCCTCCGCTCCGCGCGGCGCTGGCGGCCGCCGCGGCCCCGCAGCCCCTCCTCCCCCACCTCCCCGCCGAGCCCCTCGGCCCAGCACTCACTGTTGAGGCCGGCGGGCGGAGGCAAAGCCTGCTCCCCTTCTTCACAGTTGTTGTTGTTATTGTTCGGGGGCGGCGGCGGCTCGACTAAATGAGACGACATCGTCGGGTGGCTGGAGGAGCAGCGGCCGCAGCAAGACCGTCTCCGGTTCTCGGGCAGAAGCAACACAACAAGCCGAGTCCCCCGCCCCCTTTTCCGCGCCTGCGCAGTCCCTCCCCTGGCTGACGTCAGAGCCCGCCCAGGCCACGTGATGACAACACAGCCAGCGGCGCGGGGCGGGGCGGGGCCGGGAGCGGGAGTCCTGCGGACGTGCACGCGCGCCGGGAATGACCGCGTGCGTGAGCTCCCCACCCGCGGCGTGGAATGCAGCCTGCGGGTGGCCTCGGGGCCGAGGCCGGGCCGGGTCTGGACGGGCGCCGCCTCCACGCCTGCGGGAGCCGCGTGCCTTGCATCCGGTCCCGGAGCGTCTTTTTCCTGTCCCGGGACTTGAACTCTGGGCCTGGGCGCTGTCCCTCGGCTCTTCAGCTCAAGGCTGGCGCTCTACCCCTGGAGCCACAGCGCCACTTCCGGCCTTTTCTGCTTACGTGGTGCTGAGGAACCGAACCCCGGGCCTCATGCGTGCGAGGCGAGCGCGCCACCGCCCGGGCCCGCACAGCGTGGTCGGGAGTGGTGGTGCCCTCCTGTAATCCCAGCCATCAGGCGGCTTCCGCAGGAGGACCGCCAGTGACGGGCAGATCCCACAGTGAGTAAGTGACATACATAAGCAGCACAGACAGGAGAACAGGCTCACCCCTCCGTCTCACCCCCAGGCCAGACACGTTCCTGGGACGTGACCTGGGGAAGCTGTGCTTCGTGCTGGGGATGACTGACCCCAAAGCACTTCGTGTTCCTGATCGCTCCTCCATCCTCCCTTTCCTGAACCTGAAGTATCTCTGGCCATCCATCTGTCTCAGTCTGCTGAGGACTGAGCCCAGGGCCTTTGCACACCGGGCAAGGACTCGACCCGTCAGCACTGTCTCCGCCTTTGTACACTCGGCTCCATTCTGCCCAAGTTTCAAGTGCTCACGGATTGAATGTCCCACTGTTTCATGGTTCCGCAAAGGTCCTCACACCCAGACCATGGATTTTCTCTTTTTCTAATTCTCTTTGAGGCTTCATGTTGCGTTTAGAGCCTTACCTTCATTGTAATTTTTTTATGTGCTGTAAATTATTTCAATTCTTCACAATTTTGTAGCCATTTGACCTAACCATATTCATATTTATGACACTCTGCCTGACCTGAGATTAACTTTATAATATTGTAAACATTTCGGGGAGACAATGACTATTAGGCAACTATTAGTGTTTCTCTTCGTTTGTCATCTCTCCAGGAGGACATTAAAATGTACTTGGTAGAGCACCCACCAAGGCTCTGAGCTAAAAAACAAAATTCAAGTACAGACTTGTCCAAAATGGACCATGTGATGGTGCTTTTTTAAAGCATGGTGAACTTTGCAATTTTAAAATATTTGAAATAAGTGTTTTTGAAAATAAGTGTTTTTGAAATGATTCATTTGTCAAATACCCTAGCAAATTCTTTTCAGGTCTTGCTCAGAAATGCATTCGATAGATTATTGGGAGATAATTGTCATTATTTTCAAAGGTGTTCTTCCATTCAGGACTGAGATCTTCTTTTTCCTTTCATCCCTTCTTCCTTTCCCTCCTACTCCTCATCCTTGTGTGTGGTGTGGGGTTAGGAGATGACGGTGCTTTAGACTGAACCCCAAACCTGCACATGACTGGCAAGCACTCTGCTTGAGCTATATCCACACCCTGTCTACATAGGCACTTCTTCAAAAGTTTTAAACACTTTAAGATCCTTTTCAAGTTCAATACAATCTTATCCTGGCTTCAGAGGAAGATAATTTGAAAGTTTCCTTTTCTCCGGTCTTAGGTAAACCAAACTGGAAATGTGTTTCTTTAAGGATATAACTCATTTATGGAAATATGGGGGCCTGGTGCCCTTGGGAAGGTTCGCTCTGTTTCTGTAGGATGCTGTTACATTTCCTTACATACTGTGTCAGTTTCTTTGAGTCAGGCTCTTGCTATGTATCCAGGCTGGCCTGAAACTCTTGCTGCTTCTGTGACTGCCTCTTGAGTGCTGGGATTATGATGTGTATTATCATAACTTGCTTCCTTTTCGTCCTTTGTGTGATTCATCCTTTATTTTCTCTTGATTGTATTACCTAATGGCCTATTTTATTGACTCACTCTGTAAAAAAGTATTACTCCTAACTTTTTTTTTTTTTTCTTTTTTGGGTCCGGTCGTGGGGCCTGAACTCTGGGCCTGGGCGCTGTCCCTCAGCTCTTCAGCTCAAGGCTAGCTCTCTACCACTTGAGCCACATCGCCACTTCCGGCTTTTTTCTTTTTGCTTATGTGGTGCTGAGGAATCAAACCCAGGGC